AGTACTGAGATTACTGGTGTGAGCTACTGTACTAGGCCTAAAGACGCTTTTGTTGTTTTGTTTGGGCATCTCTGGTCCCTTTCCATAACTCCAGATCTGGTCAGAGTTTCCTCACCTGGAGGCCTTCTGGGTGGAAGGGAGGGAGGGGAGAGGTCAGGCTCTGGTTAAAGGATTTTGCTGTGTAATAGAACTCTTCCTCCATGAATGAGAGGTTGGCTTTAAATATTTAAAGAGCTGTTTGCTGAATTATGACGTATGACAGGCATTTTGCATAAAGATACTTGAGCAACGGGAAAGAAAATGTCTCGTAGATGAAGTAAATGTGGCAGAGTCCCATAACAAATTAATAAGCTTAGTTTACTTTTCCTGTTGTCTACTTAGAACGTTCATTTGTTAAAGTAGGTTAGCATGAGGAACCGTAGACACGGTCTGAATGTCTCAGAACTTCTTTATGTACATACACTCACACATACTTTCATGATGAGGTCTCCTAAGAGCAACTTGTCTCCTTCACATAAAGTGCTTCCCCCCACCCCCAGCTTCCTTTTTCAGTTCTGTGCTGAAATGACTGCATGGGAACTGATAAACTCTTGACTACCAAATTCTTCTTCCTTACTTTCAAGCCCTTAAACTGCCTCAGCAGGGCCAGCTGCCCTGGCGCCAGCTCTTTTTCCATCCCACGTGCTCTTCCCCAGTTGGCTGGCTTTGCTGCGCATGCTCAGAAGCACCTCGCTGGAGGAACCTCCGCCCCAGCCACCACCTTTCTTCCTGTGCCTGTTACTGCCGGCGTGTGTTTATTTACTGATTTCTGTTTTTTTGGTTTCTGACCTTCCCCGATGTAATGTTAGCTCCACGAGGTGAGGGTTGCCTCCCATTCACCCAGCATCACTAGCTTGAATAGTGTCTGGGCACTGAGGAGCCAGGAAATGAATAAATTGATTTCGTTCTTGAAAGAAATTATCTAGAGTCTCTTCTAGACACTGTATCCTGTGTCTTTATGAACTGATCATTCTGGTCCTTTCTTACCCTCTGCAGAATCCAGAAGATATTTCAGGAAGGGAAACTTGCCTTTGTTTTATTATATCATGACTATTATTATTAAGGAGCCCCATAGTGTTTGAGATAGCAAATAAATACTAAATGTGTTTGTTACATAATATGTAATAGTCCATTTTTCAGTGCTCGAATACTAAGGCAAAGTAGTGATAAAGAAAAAAGGTTTATTTGGACTCAATATTCTGGTAGTCCAAGGTCAAGGGCCAGCATCTGATGGTGGTCTTCCTAAGGGAAGGGTCCTGAGGCAGCTCAGAAAGTAATATAGCAGGAGACAGGGCTGGATGTATGTGTGTCCTATAGGATTCAGTCCTGGGGAAACCACCAAGATCAATCAGGTCATGGAGTCTCTATCCTAAAGACCTCTTTGAGTCCTGATTGCCTCTTGAAAGTCGTGTCCAAAAATACCATGGTCCCTGGAGTTTCCAACCCTCTTTAATACCTCACAGTGGGGATTGTAGTCTAACACAGGAAACAATAGGTCACACTCAGAGGAGAGCACCTAGGCTATATTTGCTGTTTCAGTTTTGATTTTTAAGACAGGTTCTCACTATGTAGCCTTGACTGGCCTGGATCTCACTCTGTAGAACAGGCTGACCAAGAACTTACAGAGATCTGCTTGCTGCTGCTCTGCAATGCCCAGGTTGAAGGTGTGCACCACCATATATATTTACATTTGATCAAAGGAGACAGGGCATGCTAGACACTCACTGGGGCTGGGCTGGGGGGTCTGTGAGTCCAGGCAGGTGGGAAAGCCCAGCCCCATTCTGTCTGCAGGAATTGTTGCTTGCCCACTTCTGTTGGAGAAACTACTTCTGGGAGCTAAGGAATCTTGCCTGCTTAGGGGTCTCTACTTCAGACTCCACTATAGAAGACATCAGCTTTACAGTCAGATACAAAAAGTACCCAAGGTTATTTAGACATTTTCAGTGAATAACACCAAGCATGTTCTCATCAGATGCAAGTCCTTCCGGAATCTGTAATTTCCCCTGCTCTCACCCTAACAGAAACTATAATTTTTAATTCCACTTTTTTAAAAAAAAAAATTAGAAACTGTTTAATCATAGCCAGGTTCATTCTCAGGCTATCTTTGTAAGGTTCAACCCAAGTTCTCACAAGATTAAATACAGCGTGGGGAGTTTGCTCAGCTGGCTGCTGGTCCATACTTCTAAGGAAAGAAGAAAGTTGCATTGTTTTTGTTTTTATTTTTCTTTTAAAGAAGAAAATTATGAGTGGCTTGCTGTTTTGCATGTTTATTTAGAAAACACACTATGAAAAGAGTTTGTTATTCAATCTTTAACAGGGCATTAGGTTCCTGCTTCTTGTAGGTGGTGCTTGAGGCAAAGCGAGAAGGTGTAGAGTGAGCATGGCTGGCCCAGAGCCTAATTGAGAGCTTCCGTTCTAGTTGCTGAGTCAAAGGAAGCAACACCTCATTATCCCCTTTCCTTTTTGTGTTCCTTGGCTAATGCATATACCGTTGGGGGTGGGGGGGATGTCCAGATACAGTCTCACAGCTTTGTACTAGCTATGTGGCTGAGGATGACCTTGAACTCGTGCTCCTCCTGCCTCCACCTGAGTGTGACATTACAAGTTTGTGTCACCACACCTGGTATTTTGAGGTGTTGGTTTCATGTACGAAGGGCAAGCACTATCTAAGCTGAGCTACGTCCCCGGGCCCTGACCCACTCTCTACAGTGTGTTTATGGGTCTATTTCTAAATGATTGTTGTTTTCTACCATATTCTTGAAAGAGCTACTGAGGATACAAATCACACCCATGGTCTCTCCAAAGATAAGACAAATAATGATTTAGCACATGAGAGTGTGCTCAACATTACAGTTCTTTTTTGTCCTCTCATTTTTTTATTTAAATTAGAAACAAGGTTGTTTTACATGCCAATCCCAGTTCCCTCTCCCTTCCTCCTTCCCTGCCCCCAACTAACACCCTACTTACCCTGTATCATTTCTGCTCCCCAGGGAGAGTGAGGTCTTCCATGGGGGGGGGGAATCTTCATAGTCTGTCATATCCTTTGGATAGGGCCTAGGCCCTCCCCAGTGTGTCTAGGCTGAGGGAGTATCCCTCTAACATTACAGTTCTTAAAGGAATCCACAATGAGCTACCACCTCACACCCATGAGAATGACTCCCCAGAAAGATGAACAAGGGTGAGCAAGCATACAGAGGAAAGTGGAGATGCCATACAGTGTTGATGGGAATCAGTCCAACCCCTTAGGAGAACAGTCTCTCAAAAGGCGGTTAGCATGTGGCTCAGCAGATCTACTCCTAGATGAGTACTCAAGAGAAAGAACATATTTCTAGCCAAATGTAAATCAGCTGATAGAAAACTGTGGTATGTTTATATTGTGGGATATTATTTAATACGAGTGAAGCTTGAATTCATCTTGCTACGTTAAAGAAGTCAGATATAAAGGCTACAGACTGTATTTATGCCTAATATGCAGAATCATTGAAACTACAGAGACAGAAAGAATGGTGGTTCTCAGGGCAGGCGAAAATGGACCATATGATTGCTAATGGCCATGGGATAAGGGGAATGGTAAAACTTTGCTGGAATGAGAGGGTAGTGATGGTTTTACAGTCTCATGAACACACTGAACATCACTAAACTGTGTACTTTAAAAGGTTATGGGATAGGGATTTGATTCAGTAAGTGTTTGCCCAGCATGCCCAAAGCCCTGGGTTCAACTCCCAGCACAGCATAAACCAGGTGTGGCACCAGATACCTGTGAGCATTTGGGTGGTAGAGAAAGGAGGATCCGAAGTTCAGGGTCATCCTTGGCTACATAACGTTCTAGGAAATGGGGCAGATTGTGTTTAAATAAAAGGAAACCTCACAGTTACAGCCTTTACAGTAAGGATGTGGAAACAAGAAAGATTTTAACAGGTTTCAGTGAGAATACTATGACACTGGAGCTGGCTTAGATGTCATGATCACTGGTTGATCTTCAGAGGACCTGGGTTCAATTCCCAGCACCCACATGGTAACTAACAACCATTTGCTACTCTAGTTCCAGGAGTTCTGTAGACACCAGGCATACAGGTAGTTAGCAGACATATATGCAGGCACAACACTCATATACATAAATACATAAAACAAACTTTAAAAAAAAAAGAAATAGGCCTCCTCAGTCCTGGTCAAAGGGGGATAAGGTGGTTCAGCTACTTTGGGAAACAGTATGAAAATTCCTCAGACCTTGTTTATAGGGATAGCATACAGCAGTTCCACGTCAGTATGCTTATTGAAAAGAAATAAAACATGTATTGGGCCTGGTGAGGTTGCCAAGTAGGTAAAGTTTCTTGTCACCAAGCCTGAGTGCAGTCCTGGAACCTACATGGTAGAAGGAGAGAGGCAACTCACGTGTCACTCACCTCACACCATACATACATGTACACACACAGTGGCGTGTGCACACGTGTGCAAAGTAAAACCACGAAGTATACATTCATACAAAACCCTGTAAATAAAAGTTCATTACTGTTTCATCTGTAGTTGCTAAAAGCTGGAAGCAAGGGTAAACGTAAGTGGACATCCAAAACCTCCTGCCACCTCAGAACAAGAACTATGCATGGGATGATTCTATTGGGTGACATTTCTAAGGAAAGAGCCAGGTGGAAACCCGACCCGTCAGTGTCCAGCGGTTCCCTGGGCTCACTCAAGCTCACTCGGCAGTGGTGGCAGCAACTGAGGACAGACTGTCCTACGGGATTAATTTATGGTGATGGGAAATGTTCTACAACTGGATTGTGGTGGTTGGTTATAAAAACGTTTAGATCTACTAAGACTGTTGGATTGGCTAGGTTTTATGGTATGCAAATGAAACCTCATAAATTGATTTTTTTTTTTTAAACATCAGCAGTCTGTCTTACACTCCGGATATTTGAATTTGGGAAAACAAAATAAAACAAAACAAATTCCTCTTCCCCCAGACCCGTCCTCCCACTGATGCCAGCTTCAACTTTGATGCCAACAGACAACAGAGACAGCTCATTGCAGAACTGGAAAACAAGAACAGGTGAGAATGTGACTCTCTGACCTATTTCCCATGGTCAGTGTTCTCTTCTGTGTGGCCCTCATCGCCTCACAGACTCCTTGGCTTGTTCACTTGCTCTTTTTGCTTCTCTGAGACAGTCCCTTGTAAATGAGGTTGACCTTGAACTCACTGAGTAACACAAGCTGGCTTTGCTGTCTTGACCTTCTTGCTCACCCCCCCTCAAGTGCCAGGATTACAGACTCGTCACCCACCACACCTAGCTCTGCATAACTCCTCAGTAGACAAGAGTAGCCCAGGACTGGGAGATACACTGCATGCTGTTGATTCAGATTGTTCTGCGATCTGATCTGTTACCTCTAGAGAGTCTCTGTCTGAGGACTCCTCCCAGCTGTCAGTATGTCCCTCACAGTCCCTTACCCTACTCCTTCCCAGTAGCAGCATTTTGCTCTGTCTTAGCAGCTTATCGTGTCCTTTTATACTATATGTAACCTGTCTCGTTTTATTATAAAAAGACCCTGTTAAATGTTGCTAAATGGCCTGGAGAACCACACATTACACCTCTATTCAGTGGGAGGCAGAAACCAGAACAAGGAGACTGGCCCTGTGTAGTATGCAGTGGGGAGGACATGGCAGCAGCCTCCAGTCAGGAGCCAGGCGTCAAGCAAAAAGAGAGCATGGAGGAAGAGTTGGGAAGTCCACATAGGACCAGTAGAGGAGGCATTGAGGGAGTAAAGACATCTAATGGGAAAACAGAGCCATCAAAACACTAACCGTGCCTCTCTCCATCCCCAGAGAGATCCTGCAGGAGATCCAGCGCCTGCGGCTGGAGCACGAGCAGGCTTCCCAGCCCACTCCTGAGAAGGCGCAGCAGAACCCCACGCTGCTGGCAGAGCTGCGCTTGCTCAGGTAAGCACACACTCACCTGCTCCCAAAGTAGCCTGTGGTGACAATTTCTGTATTGGGAAACCAAACTAGTTCGATAAGATTTGTTCATTAGTAGAGCCTGACCATCAGCACAGACTACCTAGGAGTTCCGTCAGCCACACTAGAGAACACAGTGTGAGAGTGACCAGACCTGTAATGAGAGTCATTTTCCTCTCTACACCTGTGTCCCCATGAGCGAAGACATTACAGAAATCAAATCCCACATCTTAGATCTTCCCAGAGCTCTGGATTCTTGAATAGTGTGCCTTTCTGTTTCCGTTGTAGCATTTAGAATTCTACTTTTGATACTTGATGGGTATGGGGGTGAGGTAAGCTCTCATTCTGTAGTCCAGACTGGCCTAGAACTTTTAGTGTTCTGTAGTACAGGCTGGCTTTGGACTTGTGGTCATCTTCTTTCTTCAGCCTTCCCAGGACTAGGATTATAGGCCTGCACCACTGACCTGCCTACCCTCACACTTAATTATGAACAGGCTAGCATCTGGGATTCACATACCTGAATAGTGGAGTTTTTCAGTGCTTTCTTTGTAGCCTTAACTGTGCTTTCTTTTAGGTAGGAAACAATGATGATTGGTTTTCTACTTGTGTCCTGTAATTTAGATCCTTATCATCAATAAGTAAAGCATAAAGAATTGAATATGTGAGATGAATGTGATCAGCTGTACCGAGTGTCCTTTTCCCCATAGCTTCATTTCAGGCTGGACATGTTAGCACACACCTTTAATCCCAGCACTTGAGGCTGAGGCAGGAAGATCTCTCTGAGTTCAAGGCCAGCCTGGTCTACAGAGTGAGTTCCAGGCCAGCCATGGATGCATAGTGAGACCCTATTTCAGAAGAAAAAAGGTTCATTTCAGTTTGGGATTTAGTTGAGCTGTGTTTTTTGTGGCACCATTGTTCACTGTCACATACTGGGATGGTCACAGGGTAAGTGCTTTACTAAGAAAGACTGGGGAAGCAGATGCTGATCCCAGCAGAGGGGAAGAGACAGCTGTCAGCTTAAGACACACTTGTTTCACTTCCTTTGCTCAGCTCAGATTCAGGTGACTATTTTTATATCTAGAAAAGCAGAAACTGTCATTCTGGAATCTATTGCCAGAACTGTAGTTCCCGAAAGTGCCTGGTGATGGTATAAGGACCTGAAAAGTGTTGCAGATTCAGTCAGCTCAGGCGGAGTCCAGGGATGCCGCACAAAGCAGCAAGAAGCAGGAGTTTAAGTCCAAGGGAGGGATCTAGTTTGCTAGTGAAGTCCAGAGCTCATTTCAAGAAGCAGCTTCTGTAGCAGGAGGGATATTTGATCCCTGAGCTAAGCCAGTTGTCTGTTCATGTGGACACAAACAGTACAAAGCCAATAGCAGATGAATTAAACAGAAAAACAGAACTTGAAACCTTTGGGAGAAAGCATAGAAGAGTTTCTTTAGGACTATGGAGTGGAAAATAATTGGTCAGAACTACTTACAATGAAAGACGCTGGTATAGTCATCTACATTGATAATAACAGCGGGACTAAGGATGTAGCTCAGGTGGTAAAGGGCTTGCCTGGCATACACAAAGCCCTGAGTTCAGTCCCAGCACAGCATAAACCAAGCATGATAGTGCATACCTGTAACCCCAGCACCTGGGCAGTAAAGGCAGGAAGGTCAGAAGTTCAGGGTCACTCTCAGCTGCATAATTTAAGGTTAGCATGAAATAAAGGAGATGTATCCCAAACAAAGCAAGGTAGGATTCACTTGTAGGTATTTCATGCCCTTTTAATTTTGACCTGTATGTATGAGTTCAGGACCTGCCAATCACAAAGCTTTGTTTCTGGTGAGCTCCTTCCTCCTCTCTGGCAGGCAAAGGAAAGATGAGCTGGAGCAGAGGATGTCAGCGCTGCAGGAGAGTAGGCGGGAGCTGATGGTACAGCTGGAGGGGCTGATGAAGCTGCTAAAGGTAAGAACCTGTGTGCTCTACTCCCATGGCATCTCTCACCGAATAACATGGGACCGACGCTTGACTTTGGGGCCTGAAACAGTTTTCAGATAAACATGCATAAGTGTAGCCCAATTGGGTATCAGTCATCAAAATTAGCATAGAGCCTACAAGATGCCTTAGCAGGTAAAGATGCTTGCTGCCAAGCCTGACCACTTGAGTTCAAACCCCAGGACCCACAGAGTGGAAGGAGAGAACTGACTCCTGATTTCCGCATGCATGCACATGTACATACAGTAAATAAATGTCAAATAGTAATAATAATAATAGTATTAGAAATAGAGTAATGTTTGTAAGTAATTGCTTTGGGTCAGTGGCTAAAAGCACTGAGCTCTTCCAGAAGACTCACATCCTATTCCCAGCACCCACATGGCTGCTCACAACTGTTTGAAACTCCAGTTCCAGGGGATCCAACACCCTCTTCTGGCTTCCATGATCACCAGGTACACAAGTGGTGAACATACATAAATGCAAGAAAAATACTCATACACATAAAAATAAAATAATTGCAAATAAGGATGTTTGTAAATCAGGTATTAACTATGTATAAATGAAAAATATTTCTCAGCTACTTAGTTTCTTTTAAGACAAGTTTCAAATAGCCTATCTAAATATTTGACAACCATCAGTTGTCCTCTTTTTAATAAGAAGTATAGCAGCAGACTGTATTAGGGCATTTCCAGAGAAACAGGAGATTTATAGCTATATAAGGGGATTTATTGTGGGAAGTGGCTTGCTCCATCATGGAGGAAGAGAAATCTACCAGAGAGACACAGGAAAGCCAGTGGTGTGATCCAGTGTGTCTAGAGGTCTGAGAACCTGGGGTACTGACTGCCCATCCTAATCCAGAAGGTGGGTTGTAAGGAATGGGTGTTGAGTGGACCTAAGTCCTGGAGCCTGGAGGGCCAAAGCCAGGGGGACCCTCCCTCAAGTGTAGATAAGCTGATGGGGGATGTTCTTCTGTATATATGTTTCTCTTAATGGTTGATGAATGAAACACTGTTTGGCCAATAGTGGCAGGAAGATAGGCAGGACTAGGAGATGAGGAGAATTCTGGGAAAGGTAGGCAGAGAGAGGCATCATGAAGAGACACCATGTGGCCTCGAAAGAAGTTAACAGGCCAACAGGCCTGGGCATTCTCTGGTAAGCCAAGACCGGTGGAAATCCATAGATTAATAGAAATGGGCTAATATTTGAAAGAAGCACTGGACATTGGCCAATAGTTTTATAATTAATACAAGTTTTTGTGTGCTTATTTGGGGCTAAAGCAGCAATGGGACCTGGTGGGACAAGGGAAACTTCAAAAACAATAAACAACACTCCTCCCCAAGAGAGAACACACTTGTTTTCTTTGCCTTCTGGTTGTATATAGTTCCTCTGTGGTCTGGATGGCATCTTTCCCTGTTGGTGAAAGCAGGTCTCCTGTCCTTGGTCATCAAGCTGTTTTCAGTACTCTCAGGGACAGGCCTGGGGATACCTTAACCATTTCTATGGACATCCTTTAGCCCAGTCAGGGGGACACACAGGTAAACATCATATAAACCAACTTACTCATCCTGATTCTGAATAGTAACTTTACTATACTGGGGGGGGGGGTCAGAATATCTACCATAGGTTTGTTGTATAGGGATAGTGAATAAATCCATACATGTTTGCTGGAAAGTACATCACAGCCCCTTACTGTAGATCAGAGAAAGGTAATGGTTGGCATTAAATGTCCTCAACTGCACAGTGTTGAACACTCAGTGGATTGTATAGCAGAGATTCAAGGATGGCTGCCTGTGCTGTTGGTGTTTAAGGTCCTACCTGCCGAGGCTGCGTCCCCACCAAATGTACAGTATACCACAGCAGTTGTGCCCCTCAACACTGTCTGTATAGTATGCCGCAGTAGCCACAACTGGCTGAAGGGAGTATACTAAATCTGTGACAAAGAGTAATTTTTTTAAAAAAACAAGTTTGAGACAGTACTTGGCAGGTTAGAAGAGCAAGAGACTAAATGATAATAGGAGGCTCATGTAATCACTCAGGCCTCTCTGGACAAGGGTCCAGAGAGGAGTGGTAACTCAAGGAAGCCATAGCTGAGACGTCTCCTCAGTGTCTGCGTTCTCAGCCAGCCCCTTAATAATAATAAAGTGGGCCCTGGCGACTGGCAGAGGTGTTATGTTTGTGTTGGAAACTCATGTTCTACTTCCTCAAGCAGTTACTGCTTTTAGTCTCAAGCTGAGGTTTCTTTCCCCTAACTTGGTCCTGGTATTTGGTTTATTTTACATGGACAGACGTGTTTCTGCATAGACCCTGCTACAGATTTCCTCTCAGAAATATTTTATGTGCAAAGGAGTCTAATTTCAAGAAAACCCTACCCGGAAACAGTCCCATCTCCACATCACAACAGCGGCTGGGTACATAAACATTTGTCTCCTGCAATACCTCTTACCTTGTGAGGTGTTGAAAGCTCCACCTCATGGAATTGGCACACTTGTGGGCCAGGAGATGATGTGAGCATGCCCCTCCTCGCCCCCATCCAAATGTTAGCCACATGTGGACGGGAAGGTGCCCAGCTGTGATTTTTGGTTTGCTTTGCTTTGTTTTCTTGAGACGGGGGTCTTACTATGTACCTTAGCTGCCTGGAACTCAGAGATCTGTCTGCCTCCTCCTCTCAAGGGCTGGGGTCGCTGTGCACCACCATGCCGTCTTCTGGCCCGCTGTGTAGCCCATTTGCACATGGTGCACATATAGACAAGCAGGTGCGCATGCCTACACATAAGTAAAAAATAAATCACAGACCAGATGTGGTACCACACACTTTTAATCCCAGTACTTGGGAGGCAAAGGCTGGAAATCTCTATGAGTTCAGGGCCAACCTGGCCTGCAAAGTGAGACCCTGTCTCAAAATAGTAGTAATAATTATTACTACTTATGTGTGTATATATTTTTCAAGTTTCTAAATGTTAAGTATTTGATGAATAATGACCAGACTCAGTCTCTGTCACAAAGGAATGTCAGCAATCATCTCATTTTTTTATGTTTCTTTATTTATTTTATGTACATTGGTGTTTTTTCCATGTGAGGGTGTCCGATACCCTGGAACTGGAGTTTACAGACAGTTGTGAGCTGCCATGTGGATGCTAGGAATTATACCCAGGTTCTCTGGAAGAGTATCCAGTACTCTTAACCGCTGAGCCATCTCTCCAGCCCCTCTTTTTTTTTTTTTTTTTTTTTTTCCTTTTAATGATATAATGTCATCGGCATTAAGGTACCTGAGTTCTCTACATGTTTGGTTTTTGTTTTGTTTTGTTTTGTTTTTTTTCCTTGATTCATCAATATGTAACTAACCTCTGTCTCAAACTACTTATTTAATCTATAAGTAATTATGTTCAGTATTTCTGTTTCTAACTCTTGCTTCTAACATTTTTACTTCATTTTAATTTTCTAATATAGCTTTTGTGTTGGTTTTTAATACAGACAGCCATAGAACTTACTTGTAGCTCTAGGGTGGTCTTGAACTCATGATCCTTCTGCCTTGGGATCTCAGAGCTCTGGGATTGTAGGCATCAATGCTCTTGTTAGACTGTCAGTCTCTTTGTAGATGATTGTAGAACTATGCTACTACTACTTCCACCATATGGAAGAGATAGATTCATGTGTTTTTAGGGAACATAAACTCTTGTAGATTTGTGCCTCATCACTAAGATGTTATGACCCCTTTAAATCAGGTTAGTACTATCTGTTGTCATCAGTCCATGTTGACTGACCCTAGCAGACTGATACAAAATGCTCTCAGCCCATATATCTGACCTTCTCACTCTTACTTGTCACAGAGCCCTAAGGCTTTATGTGAGTTTGTGTGACACCAGCCTAGGGAACCCTTTGCCAGAACCTGTCCTCTCTAAATAAGGAGACCTCCTCACTCTTGAGAACACTGGCCCTGCCATAAGGTTTCCCCAATAAGACATAATAGTGTTATGTCCTTGGGCAACCTACATAGCAAAGTGAGCATGGTGTGGTCTTGAAACATTGTTTCCGAAATTTCCTTACTTTCATTTATTTTCTTTCAAGACTGACCTTGAGACAGTCCTTTTCCTCAGCCTCCCAAGTGCTGGGAATACAGGCATGAGCCAACACAGCAGCTTCCTTGTCCAGTTAAACCAAAGTCGTGGGTATCTTCAATACCAAACATGAGGCACATGGTAATATTTAGCATTCTCAGTACAGCTAGAAATTTCCGCCTGTGAAGAATGCCCCACCCTCCCAACCCATCTCACTACATAAACAAGGCTGCCCAGGAGCTCACTAGGAGTTCACTATGTAGTCTTGAATTAAGTTTACAGAGATTCTTCTGCCTCTGCCTCTGCCTCTGCCTCTGCCTCTGCCTCTGCCTCTGCCTCTGCCTCTGCCTCTCT